TATAGAAACAAAAATTATGCCTTTTTTAATGCATCAGCTCAACACGATTCATACTAGGTGCTCATATCACCACATATGACTAATAAATCATTCCTCTCTCATTTATGCTAAATCAGCAACAATATGTTGGACCTTGCATCAGATGTTCACCAACACAATTTCATGGAGTAGTTGTTCAGCAAAGGATTAAAGCCAATTCCTATAGAAACAAAAATTATGCCTTTTTTAATGCATCAGCTCAACACGATTCATACTAGGTGCTCATATCACCACATATGACTAATAAATCATTCCTCTCTCATTTATGCTAAATCAGCAACAATATGTTGGACCTTGCATCAGATGTTCACCAACACAATTTCATGGAGTAGTTGGGAAACATAAACAATATGTTGGACCTTGCATCAGATGATCACCAACACAATTTCATGGAGTACTTAGGAAAAAAAGCATAAAAATGATGTATAGGTCAGACTCAAGCTTGTGTAATAATACGTAATAGAAATTCCTACTCTATTTGTCAAGTAATGCAGAATTCTAGCATAGACAGCTCTGAATACCAGCCAAAAGGATGGGAAAGTTACTTAGAACACAAATTAAATTAAGAAAACTGGCAATGTTTTTTTCTTAATGTCTTCAAAGCCATTCATTTTTACACTAGTAATAATCCATTTGTGGAAGAAACACTCCTTCCATTTCTTATCTACCGTGTAGATATCTGTGACAACAGTCTCATGGAGCACAGTCACTCTGCATCAGATAAACCAATGAAGAAACTGAAACATACTTTCTCTCAAATCTCCATAAGGAATTGATTTCCATGAAGGGTGTAAGAAACAAACAAAAAAACCCAACCACCAAACAAACCAGGAGTCTCCTTATCTGGAGGAAACATGAAAAACTGCCTAGCCACATGGCATGTTGTCAGCAGCAGACTACAGTTAAAAATACAGCATGCAATGCTTGTTCTAAACCTACATCTGATGTAGAATTATTTATGTAGGAAGTGGGAGTGAAAAGGATACCACAAAGCTGAAAATCTGGTGTTCAAGTCCTGGTATCTGCACTCGGCACTTCTGCAATGGGCAGAAAATCATAGTTTGCTACAAGTAATGTAAGACCAGATGCTCTTAACCAAACACGGGCACAAGTTGTTTGTCAGAATTGTGTAGGGTGAGAAGAAGAGTGGCACTAAACGTACAAGTTTCCTGCATAAGGAGCAGCACATGACAAGCATGCTGGTCACAATGGTGAGGCCACCAACCAGACAGTGATCAGCACAGGGACTGCTGCACAGCAGCCAAGTGTGCCAGTACTGCTCCAATAAGCAAATGGGCATGGTAAAAGGCTATTCCTCCATGGGGTGACTAACAGGATGCAGCACCATACATGACAGCAAGGGCAAGGAGAGAGGTAAGCATGTAGCCACAGAAATCCTACAATGGAAGAGTTAAAGATATACTACAAACACACAGGTCACGACCCACTCTCTATCCTGTCCAAGCTTAGCACTTGGGGGAAGCAACCTGTACTTCTAAAGGTCTGTATTATTGAGCAGAAGAGTAACTCAAAACAGGAGCTTTAAGAAGAAATATATGATTTATTTCTCAATTTAAAGGCTTATAGAAATGAGGACTCAAAAACCACACCTGAAGACAGATGCCATTTGGAGAAAATGGGAAGCTTAAACAACTCTTCGGAGGGCACTCAGCCCAGGCTGAATATGGGCAATGCCCCTCATGGACAACACTCGGGTTCATACTGCAAAGGCAGACTGCTTTAACAGTCTTTGGAGCAAGGAAGGTGGACACAGATTCTTGAGTGCAGGTCTCCAGTGCCATGGAGAAGCAGAGAACCTCATTTACCATGTACAGAGAATGTACTCTCTAATCTACCTTCCACTTTATCACAAGTATTCAATTATACATATGAGGAACAACACCCTTTTGACAGTGGAAGGCACCATGTACTCCACAGACCAAACACCACAAGCTTTCTATGGAGTTGGAAGTCTCTAACATATAGGGTCTCCTTGTAGCTACTTGATCAGGAAGTTGTGCCTCAAAATCTTTGTGCACATCCTCTGTCCGTTTCTGAAAGATTTTGACGCAAGATGTGGCACTCCCTGAGAGACTATCAGAAATCAAGATCCTGAGAAGAAAGCATTTTTTCCCCTAGATAGGTAACCAAACTATGTAGAGGTGTTGATGGTTGCTGTTTTTCTGGTTGCTTCTCCCCTGCTTCATTGGGATTTTGAAACAAGCACCTGCTGGTTCTCAGTTCACAACATTTGGGATAATCTATTCTTATTCCACTGGGATTTTACTGCAATGTTTTCAATATCAACAGATGAAACAACTCTAACACACTTACTGTATCAGTGTGCCTGTGTTCAATGCATGCCTGTACATGAGGCAGGCTCGTGCAATAGCACAACAGCTCACTCTTGCAGGCACATTTCAAAGACAAGCATCCTAAGGCAAGAACCACAGTTCCACAGGGCATTTTGGTCAAAAATAACAAAACCCCTGGGTGTCAATAAGGCAGAACACAGCAGAATTGCAAGAATGCCTGTTTTACTAGAGCAGTCCCCAACTCCTCTGAAAACACCTCTTTTTCCAGCAGCCTGCTTGTACTGTGAGCCCTCTAGAAACAGTCTCATTAAAATGGAAAGCAGCTACAGAGCAGAACAAGTGTGCTGGTCCTGCAGTGTGTATCATGCACCCAGCATGAGGAGAATGAAGACTGTCTGCAGTGCTAAACCAGGAGATGAACTATTCGACCTAACAGCTGCAGAGAAAGGTTCAGACTCCAAATGCAAATGCAAGCAAATAAGCTCAACCCCTCTTTTCCATGTAGAGGATAACCATCCTTTGGAACAGTTAGGGGAAGACAATGCTCTAGCCTGTAACTGTCTCTACTCAAGCACTAGATGGTAAAGGGCTACTGCCCACAACAATAGACAGCCTTGGCAATGGCCTATTTGACCATCAGAATTAAATTATGACCATGCAACACCGAGTGACATTGAAGTGGAGAAAAAATAATTCCCCTCAGAAGGGAACAGGAGAGTGCTTCAACTTCAGGCATGTGGAATGAACCCTTAACACAACATTCAGTTTCCATTCTGATCAAACATGAACATTTGGAGGCTCCTTCTTCCCCACCCCTCTTCCCAGCTCAACTTTCAAGATCTGTCCAAGGAGATAGACATAGAAACTTCTATGGGGTTTGCTAGGTATCATCAGTCATTGGCAATTGCTCTCTGCAATTTCCATACTCAGGAGCATTCTGCATTGAACAGAACAGACTAGTCAGAGGCATGTGTCACAACTGAGCAAGCCCTTGGTCTTTCTAATCCACAGTGCTGACCAGTTCTCCATA